TACATTCAATGAATAGCCAACAACAAATTTAACTGAACAGTAAGACAAGTCATGTGAAATAGAATGAAATACAAATGAGTTTAATACATTTTGTGTAGTCTATACATTGTTTTAACATCAGAAGTTGTGCCAGTCTTTAAGAAATTGCAATTTTAAAAAAGCACCTTCTAAAAATCTGCATCATCAACCATAAGGCTTACTTTTTTTTTCACATTTTATCAAAATAGTTAACTTATAATGTAGTATTATTTTATATTAACTAAGTTAACATGCAAACAATAATACCTCACCGACATCTAAAGCCTAACACCTAAACACCATAACCATGCACAATGGTATATGAGATGATGGATATCTCAAAGCTATACATTAAGCTTGTGTACTGTTGAACATTTAGAAACAACGAAAGATTTATTCACTTACCAGTCAATAATACTGTGTACACTTTTCAGAAGTTTTATTTCAGCAATATAGTATTATTTTATATGTTCATAAGTGTGTTTATAACAATGTTTGTGGTGTATCTATAACCATGCAGTTACTCAAGCACTTTGTACTCAACCAAAGGTAATAAATAATCATAATCCACTGTATTTATTAGGCAATATGGTAATTGGTGAAAGTAAAAAACCTAGCATTTTGTACATTCTTCAAGTAGCCTAAATTCAAGGTCAAATAACATAAAAATTAGAATAATGTCAATTTATTTTGTAAAATAAAACTCTGGATAATTATAACTTTATCTTAAAAAGTTGAAAAAACATTAGGGAATGAATAACAATAAAACTAGAAAGTTATTCATATAATATTGTTTCAAAAACACTGTTTATATTCTCCATGTTAATTACTGTAAACTTTTTAAAAATGAGCTATGTAACACTGTAACCTTTGTTGTTGTTTTTTTGAAGAGGATGTTTGGAGTAGTGGAGTGTTTTTCAGGTTGTATTATATAAAGATAATACATAATTTGATCCAGTGGGTTTCATTACTTCTGTGTTTTAGAAACATTGTGCTGCTGTTTTATGTATTTTATTAAATTTTCCTTCACATATAATGCAGAATTATTTAATTAGATCTTTTGAGATGAGTCACAGGTGAAAGGCCATGTCATCTTGTTTGT